CCTGGTATCCATGAAAAAGAGGTGTTAATGCGAATACAGTTTGTACGTCAATATCCAGCAGGAGAACTTTTGGGAACTTTTTGGTGGTGCGATAGTTTTTTGGGGACTTGTATATATATATATTACATTTACTTACAATGGGACACGCTGTATAAGTGATTCGAATATGATCTTCAAATCATAAACATGATCTTCTGAAACCTATATAATTGTCGATTTTTTCACTGAGGGTTCAATAGTTTTGATAACTACTGAAGAAAGAAAAAATAGGCAAGGTGATGTTTCTTATATTACTATTCTGAATCAACTTGAAAAGTCAAATGTTACAGTGTTATACATGTTCTTGTTTCATTAGCTTAAACAATCTTCACTGTGTCAGTTATTCTGATATTTCAAAGTTCATTAGTATCATATCATATCCTCCACATATAATTATTATATACATTTATTTTCAACGACGATACTGGGGTATTTTCTTAAAAAATTGCACATCACCAAATTTTTTCAGGAAATTGAATGTTTCGGAATTTGTAGTTTCAAGCTTGATTTGGGCAGTTATAGGTAGTGTGGAAATGATAAAACTATGGACTTTGTCGAAGTTAACTTTCCCAGAGTTCATTCATAGTGACAGCTTCAACTTAAACTGACTGATCGTCATTGTACAGTTCCATATTCCTCAATTACATAATATTTCCTTCAACAGTACAATGGTGGATATTTTTTTGTTAACGGAAAATGCTTTATTATTGAATTGAAATCTGTGTTCCATTATTAATTCAATCTGGAAGATCCTTAATAAAATAAAAGTATATTCAATGATAACTGTCAAATCTCGTTTTGAGTTGATTGACAGTTATTCATCAACATACAAAAAGGGAGATGAAGGCTGGAGTTGATGAAAAAACTGGAAATTTGAATAAATTAACTAGTTGACTTGACCAGTACATATAAATCAGTCAATCATCAAGTTTCCTGAACTAATTATCTCGAATTATATGTCATTCATCGCTACTGAGTTGAATTCATCACTGTATTAAATGAAAATGTCATGAGAACATAGTTAAGAACAATAGTAGGACATCTACTATACTCCTGACCAGCCCAATATGACAAATTCATTTGAATATTTGCTAACGATATGCTACTCGTTACTCTGACGACTTATGAATATACACTCCGAAAATAAAATTGAAAACGAGTTGAATGGGTGAAATTCAGAAAGTCACTGTCCATATGTAACTATTGGAGCCAACTATTCTTCAACTAGTCAGATGCAGGTTATTATAATAATAAAAAAAAATTATCAGTAGTGATTCGGCTGGTAATAGCAGTGCCTTATTTAGAATCGGGCAGTAGCTTCGTGAAACTATAAATTACGTATGATAAACTCAATATTAAACTTGAATTATCACAGTATGATTATGTTATAATATCCTAAATAACATGATACAAGAACAAAATTGGATACAAAATTCACTAGTTGGGAAGTGCACGCATATTTTCCGGCAGTCCGATACGATATGGGCCAGTACCTAGCATTACATCTCCATCTATAAATATCCAATTGATATTTGGAGGCTGCTTCATTTCGACCATAGCTTTAGATCACTGAACATCAGAAGATTGACGTACAAAAAAATATTTTTCTCATCAATTTTATGTAAGAAAAGGTCCGACAAGCTATTTCAACTTTGTTTTTCAGGACAACTGATAATAGTCCTATTACTGGATACAAGTCATGATGGAGAATCAATTCAAATATACTCCAGTGATGAAACAGTTTCATCCAAACCAATAGATTTGGTATAGCAAAACAGATTTTGTATGGATAATATCTCAGAGAAATTGACATTTCAATTGATGAGACTCCTAAAGTGATTTTGATTTGTACATCTCTGTTCTGGAACCGCATTCTATGAACAAACCGAATCTTTAAAATTAGGCTATACATTGGGTGATATGTGGTGTCTACTGATGATAGCATTTACAAAAATATTGTTAGGTTCCACCATTCCCAGTGTATTCAGGTCAGAAGTGAATTGAAACTGGAAACTGGAATATTTCAGCAGAATATATAGATCATGTCTTTCACCCGTCATCCCAACTGGCAATTCCGATGTTATACTTTCATCACAAAGCCTTCCTCTCATATTTTTTATTGAACTGATGTGTATGAGTACTTAGTTGGGGACAATGACGTTGTTCTGACTCATCTCTTCTGCAATCTACAACTTGTATTTCATCCCGTGTATATATAGATTCAATCGTTGTCATGAATCATTTTATGAGGACACTCATGGACACTATAAAAATGTCTACGCAATAAATTTTGAGTCATGACTCGATAGCATCTATATCAAATCATTTTCTAGAGTTGACATTTCATATTCCATAAAGGCATAATGGAAATTTATATTATAATCATACATATATATGTTCTTAGTTTTGATTGGTGTTTAATTGAATTCATTCACTTGACAAATGATCATGAGTAATTTGAAAATTGATGAAGTAAATGTCCTGAACATGTTTTTCATTGCAACTTTCACCAAAGCGAGACTGAAACACACATAATATCTATCGAGGAAAGTATAGCTGTGTGACGTCATAGGCTCGCCTGAGCCAGCGCAATGTTATTCTTGTCAGTGGCTGATCATGCGTTTTAACAAATTCTTGAGTGAAATGAAATCTGAAAAGAAGTGTTTCGAAAAGACAGAGCCAGGAATACTTTTATGAATATTCATTGAGATTTCGAAGGAAGAAAAGAATAAGATACTTTTATAGTTTTCATTCCGCAAGACAAAATAGTGAAAAGAAGTCGTTAAAATCAACTCTGTTATCGAGCTTATTTTTTGTCAGTCATTGGTTAACTGAAAACTCCATGTTCATTCTGCCGGTGAAATTGATGAAAAAAATATAGTGAATTATCAACAATAAATTAGTATTGTCAAGTTAATAATAATTATCAAACCATGCACGACCCTACATACAGAATTTATGTACATGAGCATTTATTGAAAAGACGTACTCCTTCATGAAATATCTCCTCCTAGTATATTACCACATATGAACTTAATTTTTCATGAAGGTAATGAAAACCTTTGAGCTGACTATGACAATGGGGCAAGTACTATACTGTTTCACAGAGTTCCTCATCAAATTCACGTTACCTTCCACCGAAACAATGTTTGTGATCACAAGTAATGGATCTGTGGTTTGTTTCGCTTTGTGGGATCATTCTGGGAAACTTTTCATGACGCGTTTGTAAAGGAAATGCATCATTACTGCATTCAACTTCTGCAAAATATTTTTCTCGGTGAAAAATAGCGACTAACATACTTCAGTTTTGTCATCGCACAGAACACAGAACAGTTGAACCTCAATTTATGTAAGAAGGTAATTTATGAACAGCTGGTATTTGAAATCTCAACAAGTTTTCCATTTGCTATGATTTGAAAATTCTTGTACTCAAACTTCAAAATTATCTCAACGTGTAATTGGAGTATCAATTGTAGATTATAATTTGTATCTGAGGCCAAGAGATGATAAAAAATTGAGATATCAACTCGTGGTAATCCATTGAAATCAGCTGCCTCAGAACCTTTTTTCAAATTTTAGCACTAAGTTTTAACGAGAAGTGGATCACCACTAAAACCGAAACTTTTGATGATTGGTGTCGCCAACAACAAGCGTGTAGCTAGACCAGCGAATCTTTCAAGTCTCAAGGTTAGCAGAAGGTTCCAGTAAACAGAAACATCCTTGGGATATCACATTCATGTCTCGCTATAGATAAGAACGCAAATGACAAGAAAACATCATTCGTATTGCCAGGGGACTCTTTATTCCACAAATCATTCACAATATTATCCATCATAAAATATAGGTGAATTTGTGAGGCTCCCTAACAACCAAGAGACTCACTTGAACCTCACATACTTGTATATTTATGTAACAAACGGAATCAATCAATTTTGATGCTGAATGAGGAGGAGTCGCTTGATACGTACTGTGAGTTAGATTTGGCATCTTAATGTGAATCATAAAATGACCAAGAGGGTCCGGGATAGCAGTTATTGTGAATTCAGTGGGACTCTCAATTCGAGTCACGGATGTGATGTGTAGCATGAATATGATGCCCTCTTATATCTCTGGAATCAATCTGTGTCAACTGGGGTTATTCGTGTTTATAAGACTTATAAGGTGATATGAGGAAGGACATATCTCTCTTCTGCATGAAAAAGGAAAGTACTTTCAACCAATATCATCCTGAATGAACCGTTTTTCTGAAATTCATGATTAAAAAAAAATTGAGTGAAAAAAATGACGCTTTGCAGTGTCCGAACTCCGGTCACCACCGTGGAAGTCAGATACACTAACCACCAAGCTATCGCTTTACTCGTAGTATTTGTAGTTTCTCAATATAAAGAAGAAAGGAGTATCATGTGTTGTGGGTGACGTCACTTGAACTCGATGTTTGAAGAATTGCTGGTCTAGCTAGAAGCTTGTCATGGCGCACTCAATGCGTGCTGGCCTGTGATGCCGGGGCAACAACTGTATGTTCTCGAATTCGAATTAGAAACCGATATTCATCGGCCAAGGTATACAATATGCATTACTGAAATGACAAAGTGTTGCTATGCAAACTGCGACTGTGATTAACGGTATTATGGTATGTCGATCCAAAGTCAGTAGGAGCACTTCGAGAAAAAACATAAATGTATAGGTACGTAAAGCGGTTTCGCTTCTTTTGAAATTTGTTTGAATTCCGTGCACGTGGCATTCAAAGATTGGATTTTTTCAATTCAACATTTTTTCCACGCCATGTATAATGAGCATCAATTTATTGTACAACTGACAAACGCTCCAATTGACTTTGAATAGACTTTACCTACCTAATCAAAATGAAAGTCTTTCTTCTCCCAACAAATAGCCATGTAGAATGCTAGATTGGATAAGGCTTTGTGAAACTGGAAAATTAACACTAATTAATATCTCTACTATGAATAGTCACCTTATTCATGTAGGCATCGACATTCTCCTGAAAAATCTATTGAATACTGTCGCATCGTGGCTGTGGTGGCTCTAGCCAATCAATGATGATTAAGATACGTAAATGACGAATCATGATATCATGAAGGAATTCAAATGAAATAAATGGCAGACATACAGTGATCACTTCAAATGGGTTATCTCATTAATCTTGATCAAATACTCATGTTGTACACGATGCACTGTTCGAGCAAAGTTTGTGAATGGCAAGTTTATGGGGCCATTTTCCTTTCCATATCGAATGAACCAGCCAATTGATCAGATTTTTGCTTCGAAAATCTGTAAGGATAACTGATGGTTACGCCAAAATTGTACGTACATCAGATAAACAGTGACAACTCCAATAAAGATACATATCAGGAACGTGATAACGATAATTATATCGGTAAGATTGTCGTCTTCATCTGTTTGTTGTATATTGGCGATTTCTTCTGTTAATAAATTACTCGATGATTATTCTACCTCTTTTATTCATCATAATGAATTCAATTACTCTTAGGTGATGAAAGAAGTTTTTGAAAGATTAAATTGATCAGTAGGAACCACATAACTGTATTAACCACCCGGTTTGGCTAGGATCAGAATCCCTGCTGCTGCTAGTACAAAATGGAGTAGATTGCCAAGATAACGACCCATAGCGTAGCACACCCTAAAACCAGCAGAGACAATTCATACCTCCCAACTTCGAAGAGTCGCCTGTCCTGATCGGTCACAGAGGATCACGTGAAACTTTTCTGAGAACAATTCCTACCTGATACCATATGTCATCAGGGGATCAGGGTTTACCTGCTTTACCAAGCTCCATGTTCACAGTGTTTTGGCAGAAAATAATAGACTCAAGTTATTGGGCATGCGTCAGGTAAAGATTCTCAATGGAGAGACATTTTTTCGCTGTCTTTTGCTGAATTCAAGGGGGTATAAATTGTCTCAAACCAGCCATTAGTCTATAATGCAACTGAATGAGCAGTACGATGTCCGGTTGTCCGGTCGCCTTGAAGATATGCCGAATTGAACATCCTCAAATTGAAAGAGCGCATGTGCAGTACTCCAAAGTGTCGAATAGCAACTTTCTCATCAGTGGCGTGGAGCTGGCACTTTTGTATCTTGAAAATTTTTTGCAGTCATGTTAGCCTAAATGACGCTGTTACTTCAGAATCTAGATACTCAGATTGTGTTTTCTCAAATTTTTTGTTAGAATTGGTAATATCGGCGATATTTTGGCTTCTTCAAAATCTATATGAATGATTATATGCAGCCTTGAACTTTCAGTAGATTCAGCATCAGGAAGTATGTCCAGGGTTTATAAGTCACAATTGGTAACAAGAACTCGCGAAACAATAACGACATAACAAGGATCATAATAGGTACCTAACTGCTGATGATATTTCTCTGAGAAAGAAATGGAACAAAGGTAGGTCGATCAAATCATACATATTACTGGACATGGAATATTAGCACATTGTTTGTTCCAGAAGGTTATGGAAAACGAAAACCTGATGATATTATCGGAACAGATTGTTCTCAAGATATTTCGGCTTCTTCAGAATGTATGAAATGTTTTTTTAGAGGCTTCAACGTTCAGTAAGGATTCAGCATCAGGAAGTTTGTCCAGGGTTCAGAAATCAGAAACAACATGGAGAAATAATATAACAACCAATAGACAATAACTTCTAGTAGGGCTCAATAAGGAGCCGAGATACATTTCGTCTGGAAGAAACTCGAAATTGTTCAGAATAGGTTATGAATAATAAAATGTAAGTTTTTTTATTCGAACTTATTATCAATAGAGAAAAATTGTGCGAATATCATAAGATCTATTTTTCTTCATGGAATATACATTTGTATCAACCTATCTCCCATTTATCTCGAATATCCCTAAAAAAGCCATCAGAAGATGTCTGAGAGACATTTTTGTATATTGCCCATGTTGTTCACATATCGTCCAATACATATCCTAGGAGACCTTAAAAGGATGTCTTGAGAAGTTATTAGGACGTAGATATCGGTAACAGGAGTACGGCCAAGGGACGTCATCAGGCTCGCACTCGACGTCCTGACGACATTATTGTGATCGCCTCAGAAGTGCCTCGGAAGGTATTTGTGCTATCTGGGTGAGTATCGAGCATTTCAATGCACCAAACTCAAAACAAAAATACTTATAAATCCCCTGCTTCATACTTCGTTGATGCGCATCATGTACTCCTCTCTGAGGTGTAGGAAGCTCATTTGGTCAATTTGCCTTTATGCCACTGCGTCACTGCTCATCCAGTTTTTATATGAAGGCTCATGAACACCGTTCGGATAGCCAAATTGAAATATTGGATCAATCAACTCTTACTGGAAGAAAAGGAATAGATCGATAATCGACTGTCAATTAGTAGTCCGTTCCATGTCTTATTTTTTCTGGACGATTTTGGTTTGCCGATGCTAATGATGAAACATGTTATGTTATTATTGATCAGAGTAGCTGGTCGATTCGAAGTCACCAATAAAAACATCACCACGTTCAATCGCTAGCATCGCCAAAGCCAAAATCGATTAACAATTTAAACATGATCTAAGACGTGAGGTCTAACATGGAATATCGGTACTTCTCCATTACTCTCATTACGCCTCTACTTCAGGAAATCTTTTCCAATTTCGATTTGAAAGTTGATTTGAAAGTTCCACATTTGAATCAATAGACCATAATTTATGTTTTTGTACTTCTTCACATAGGACACACCACTGATCCTGCAATTTTTCACAAGCCCTAGCCTTGAGGGCCGTGCAACAAAAACTTGTGGAATTTTGACAATGACCTCAAGCTCTGGCTGGTGATATCACCGACATCACCTACTATCTAGACTACTAATGGCATAAAAGGAAATCTGATTCATTTACGAGATCGAGTTAGTTCCCATGGAGCTCCTTCCCATGTTTCCGAACACCAAGTGACATAAGTCAATTACAAGAATGACTGTTTGGAACCTAGGTGCCATCTGAGAAGACGCGTTTCCAGACGAGCAATTTGAGAGTGATTTTCGGGTTGTTCTGGATATAACATATATCGATCTACATAGTAGGTGATGTCAGTGGGTGAGACTAACAATATTAGTCTGGTCATGAAAGGAAACCCATAAAGTAGATCCCCTGTGAGTATCTCACCATGTAAACACAGAATGCTTCTCGTGTTTCATGGTATTACAAACACAATCAAGATAGATTTATTTTCTCTGCATGTTTCTGTAACAAAAATCATTAGAAATGATTCGAAGAGCCAAATGTGGAATGGGACGTGGAACAAACTCAAACTGAAAAGCTGATTCTGATGAAATAATATCATCATAAATGTGGTATTCTATTCCGAAAAACAAAATTGCAGGGTAATTCGCAAATATTCTGGATTTTCGAAAAGTGGTTCAATTCAATCTTCCTGATCGGCTAACCAACGATTTTCATGAATCAGCCTCCAGGTCAGTAGGACCAGCAGCCGGGAGATTGGCTCAACCAATCGGAAACTCTACCGAAGGGCGTTGTCCGTAACATCGGTACCAGTATCGTCGCTGATGTTGGGCTACGACACGATGATGTGTGGAGCCGAAAAGAGTACCGCCAGCGTGGCGATGATAGTGAACAGCGTGAATATGATAAGGCACAGTCTGTCGACCACCATTGCCGCGAACTTCCAGTCCTTGGTGATGTTCGCGGCGTCGTCCTCCTTCCGCAGCTGGTCGGTGATGAAGCGGATCTCCTTCAGAATCATGGCCAGCTCGTAGTCGGCGCTAGCGCAGGCGTGGTTGGCGTTGATGGAGTCGGAGAGGCGAGGCGCGCCGCCGCTGCCGCCGTTACCGCCGTTGCTGCTCTCGTCACTCTGCCTGGAAGTAGTAGAAACGGATATCAGACCATGAGAAGTGAGGAAGTTTATACATTGACAATAAATTAATATTCAATGAACATGTAACATTTATGTGTAGAAAGTTAGCCTCTGGATGCTTCGCTGTTAGAACTATTGCTGCAGAATTAGGATTTGTGTCTGCTAGAGCTGCATACTTTGCCCTCATCGAATCTCATTTGAGATATGGAATTGCATTCTGGGAAGTTTCCAGTGATCATCTATTCTATTTCATCTCACAAAAACGGGCCCCAAGATTATGTGGAGAGAAATCAAGAGACTCATTTATTCGAAAATTGCGGCATCCTGACAGTAGTAGGCTTATACATCTTGGAAACAACGGCTCTGATACAAGAAACATAGCTTCTTTAGAGCTTGTTTCATCACATTACAACACAAGACAAGTTAAATTGATAAGATTCCGTACCACTATGATCAAAGACTCCATTATTTATAATGGAATGAAGATATTCAATCATTTGCCAAATCATATCAAAGAAATTCCGGACCATGGTGAAAATATTGCTCGTTCAGACTCCACTATACAATCTCGAGGTATATTTTTCACAGAGACTCTGAAATTATGTATTCCTTTCTTTCTTGAATAGTTCTTGAGAGGATCGTATATTTTCAAATGTGTTTCAGTAAGCTTCATATTTTGAATCGCATATTGTTCATTATATTTCATTCGAATATGTATATGTACGAGCTTTGTCAACAAATACGAATGTATTTATGGCAATAACGCATATTATATTGAATTGAAAAAAAATTATACACACAGACACGATATGACAGTTTAACGTTCGGAAATCGCCTAAACTTGGTGGGTACTAAACTCATCAATAAAATAAACGTCGTGTTCCATTTTAATAGGCTGAATTAAAAAAATTGAATTACTCGTACTAATTTTTGTTCGGTTATGTTCCCGATCGAGCAAATATTTGTAATATTCCTTTTCTCGATCATGATCTTGAAGCTTGATGTCTCTTCTCGAAATAATTTTGAAATTCTTTGAATCAGAGCTTTGAAATCATAGATGTTTTTCTAGAAAATTATGTTTTTTCCAACGAATAATTTAAAAACGTTCAACGTTCAGAATGTTTTCTGAAAAAAAATTACATTTGTGGATAGTTCTAATGTGAGAGTCTTCAGATAGAGAAGCTGCAAATGAGGTATGTACAGGATGATATAAAAAACATTGAAAGATTAAATCATATCTCTCTTATTCATGCTTTTCTTTATCCCATTGATCAAATTATGGAGTTTTATACTATATGAAAACATGTAGTTTGATGTCTGTTTCAAAAATGGTTTTGAGATTTAAAAAATCAGAGCCCGTATTATGAAGATATGATTTTCAATGCACAATGATGATAATGTGTTCACACGACCGAACAATTCATCGGTTGCGGAAAAAATATATCAATTATCGCCAGGGAACTGACGTGAGAGGCAGAACTATAATGAGGCAGAATGCTTTCAAGGTGATAACCATTCGTCGAATGCGTACATGGACAGGTAGACAAGTGGAACATTCGCTGGCATGTAACTGAAGTCCAAATCTCTGATCAGACAGTCAGAAAAAGGCAGAAAGGCTGCACAAATACAATCTTTGAGCTGGAGAACGTGCTGCTGTCCACTGCTCGAAGAACGACGAGCATGCGTTTAACATCCCCAAGATTTGGGAATAGAAAATTGGAGTAGGTGAACATTTCCTCATGAGGCGGGGAAGAACACATAGTGGCAAAGGTGGCCTTTAGAGATGAAGGAGTGACTGTCTGGGGCGAAATATCTCGAAATGAAAAGAGTGCGTTGGTGATACTGAGAATGAGGAGTATAAGTGCAGAGAGATATAGAAATGTATCAGAGATGTTGTTGTCCTGCATGCTCAAAATTTTGGCAACAATTCAATTCGATGTCGATGTCGGTGACAATGCTAGTCCGCATCGTGCTCGCATCGGGCTCGCATCGTCAACGATTTTTTTGCGTAGAAGCAATATGAATTGGCCACATCCACATATGAATTATATTGATCATTCCTTGGTGAGAAAGGGATTAGGATGGGAAGGAAGAAGTTGAATAATCTGGAAAATGATATTGTGGAAGAATGGGCAGCTGTTCACCGAACTTAATCAGGCATTTGGTGTCGTAATCCTGGAAGAAGTAGAATATTCAGTACAGGCATGGAGATACCTCACCAAATATTGGATCATATCAGACATTTCTTGTATCAGCTTGGTATGCATGCATGAAAGAATGAATTTATTCGTCCCATAGCGCGATGTTTTTTATATCACCTCGTATGCATCTTCATGATACCGACTTCGGTTCATGAAATTCCAAAACTTATTCGTTGGTACCAGATTGTTTCGTCAATAAATCAGCATTTTGGTATACTTGCTACCCAATAATTTTCAAAATCCGATCTCGAATGATTCAGAACTTACAGCACCGGCCATTTCTTGTGCACTTGAGTAGATACTCGGTTTTCCGTTAGAAGTGCAGCTTACATCTCAGTCGGATGCATCAAGCATCGAAAGAGAATGAAATGAAACAGGGGTATATGACAGACATATTTCATTTCAATATCAGCATATGAAAATTGCAAAATATGATCTAGATACTTCAATGAAAAATCTACATGGAATTATAAATAGCAGAAGGGTCCAGAAGTAACATTGGCACTGATTGCCATATCAATACCATGCACAGATATAGAATCAGATGTCTTTGACACCCTCCAACGATTTGTTATACTAATGTATGATCACACATGCTCATTCAGGTTGCAGAGTGACCTAAAAATACGTCATATTAACATCAATTTCACTTCGATATCGGTTCATGACGTCTTTCGACCAGAATATGACAGCAAAATTACGTCATATTTCATGACGTGTCATCAACGTTTTATACTGGAGGTCTTAACGACGTCCCCACAATGTCGTATATTCTTTCATTCGACCAAATGAGAGGAATCAGTCGATTTCTCACCTTTTCATCGTCTGTTGTACTTAATTTGTGTTTTTATATACACTGTGATTTCGTGAAGTACTGAATGAATTTATTTTAAGCTAAATTATCTTTTCTGAGGGATCCTCTGAAACAGGTCGATTTTGATCATCAATCTTCTCTAGAAGGCGAAACCCAGTATGCCTGATATAACAATGTCTGATACCACCTCTCTCACCAAGACCCTATATCTATGCTCTGTATCACCATCAGCAATACTCTCTCATGGAACCACGTTCAATCCATCGCAGGAGCTGCTTCACAAAAAGTCGGTTTCTTGTACCGTGCAAAAATCTACTTCACACCACAACAGCTTCTCATGGTCTACAAAGCACAGATACTGCCAGTTTCAGAATACTGTTCTCAGTTATGGAGTCTCAGCACCCCCAACATACCTACGCCATTCGCCTGGTCAGTGATGCAACACTCTACAACTCTTTGGGCCCATTAGAACACCGTAGAAAAGTTGTCGACCTCTCACTTTTCAATAGATACTTTCACGGAAAGAGTTCCATAAGAATTCCTGCTATAATTTCATCACTATAGCAATACCAGTCAGACGAACTCGACATGCCCAGTCAGTACATACCTTCGTCGTTAACCTTGAAAAACTACACTATATCAAAACACGTTCGTCAATAGAAGGGCAAAGCTTTGAAATTCTTTGCCAATGGAAGTATATCCAAGAACTTGAAGATTCAAAAGATGGCGGCAAGTAAACAATATGATTCGGAGTGCTCCAACGAAATTTCTAATTTTACCTTTGATTGCTGTGGAAAAACCCTTCAAATTGGATACTATGTTTGTACAAAGTGTTGTGGAGTGTTTCACAAAAGTTGTTTACATAAAAGCTCATCAGTTACTTACATAAAGAACAATAAAGTTGTATGCAGGGACTGCCAAAACCAGAGTGAGTTTGATGAGAGTAAAGATGAATTGTACTCAGATTTAATACAAGAATTAAGAACTGAGAATAAACAAAAAGATGTAACAATTGCCAAAATTGAGCATAAACATAAAATGTTTTATGACGAAGCGCTCGAAGCAGAGGCTGCATATTTCGATAAACTTCATGAGTATGAAGAAACAATCAAGCGATTAGTTGACGAAGTGAAAAAACTTGAAGATAAGAAGAGCAAAACTGAAATGAATAAATTCGATGTTAGTACCCAGACGTTGACAAAAACAACTCTCGCCTCAAAGAAACTGGATTTGCCTAAAATGACCCAAGATTCCATATCGCAAACTGATAACCCATTTGATGATGCCATGTTGCCACTGTTGCCAGATGAAAGTCAAACAATGGATGATTTGGATAATAATGACAAATCGTTTGTCAGCGTTAAACTGAAGAACAATTTCAAGAAGATGAAAAAACATGAACAACCTGAAACAAAAATCAGAAAGTAAGCAAGAATTAAGAAAAATAAAATAAAAAAGACTAAAGTACGAGTAGGAAATACTAGAAGTATCATAATACCAGACAATCCTGACATGTTGCTGTCAGATAAATGTGATGAAGGAAATGAAACCTTGGTAAATCCGGATATTGTCATTACCTCAAATGAGGTAATAATTAAAATAGATAGTAAGAATGAAGAAATAAGAAATAATGAATCTTTGAGAGAAGAAATCAGGAAGATTCAGGAGGAAGAGACGTCCACCACCGAGGTGATGCACACAGAAGTGAGGAAGAAGATTTTCATAATAGGAGATGAATATATGTTGAATTTCTCAAAGGTATTGAAATCTATTTTGGATATATCGAAATTCACAATTGAGGAATATATGAACCCAGGAATAGAACTTGCAGAAACTACTAGAGATACATTTAAAAAAACAATGCACTACGGACAAAACGACTATGTTATTGCCATGTACAGCACAAACAACATAAGTAATGGAAAGTCACTGAGACAAGCAATGAAAAACCTACTTCCACTGGGTAGGTTCACAAATCTACTAATG